CATAGTAGCAAGCCTTATACCAGCTTGATAAGCTATAAGAGTGCTTCCTGATATATTTTTTTTCTGTTTTTTGATGACAACATCGTTGATACGCCTTTATGCTTTAGGTTGTTTATTGTTCGAGCAATGATGTTTGTAAAAAGCGTGCGAGCAGCCTTCCGCGTTCGCCGCCAGCTGATAGAGTGGGCAGGACACCCCTCGAGCGGGCCATTCCATGTTGCACCACGTGACTAGCTTAGTTTCCGCGAATGCCACCAGTCTAGCGCTCCCCGGAGAGAGCCGCAAGTGTGATTAGCACTGTACTTTTCCACTTTGAATGCCGCGTCCGGATTTTGGCAAATCAAACTCACGGAGGCTAGCTCTAAACTCTGCACGATGAGCACAGCTTACGGGCGCTATCGCTTTCTTCACATGCCCTTTGGGATCGCTTCTGCGCTGTAATCTTTCAAACCGCAATGCACCGACTGCTAGAAGGGTTGCCTTGTGTTGCTATCGTGATCGATGGTGTACTATTGTGGCGGAAAACGAAAGAACACGACTATAACCTGACTCTGCTTTTGACACGGTGTCGAGAACACAACCTCAGATTATACCCCAAGAAGTGCATCTTTTTGCAGCAACAAGTCCGCTACCTGGGACACGTCGTTACGACGCAAGGTCTGCGCCTCCACCCAGAGCGGGTGGACGACATCCTGCAGATGCCGGAGTCAAAAAAGGTAAGGAGCAAGTTTTGCTCGGCACAATGAATTTCGTGCCGCGTTTTATTCCCAAGCGAAGTGGCGCTCTATTAACAGCGCCGCTTCGGACCTCGCTACGTAAAGATATAGCATGGGTCTGGACGGAAAAACAGCAAGAAAGCTTTGAAGAATTGCGACAGGCACTGATAACGGCACCGGTTCTTTCCTACTTCGACCCTAAAAAGCCCGTCACGCTCTTGGTTGACGTTAGTCAGTTTGGGGTTGGCGCCGTGCTTATCCAAGACGGCCAACCTATCGCCTTTTCGTCTCGCTCACTCACTGACTCGCAAAAACCTGGGCACGAATTGAAAGAGACGTTGGCGATTGTGCATGGTTGCGCAAAATTTCACGATTACATCTTTGGCCAGGCAAGTGTGACAGTGGAAACTGATCGGCCGTCCCCTAGTTGCAATTTTCGATAAGCCGTTGCATCAGTGCCCACTGCGGTTGCAACGCATGTGATTGTCCTTGCAACGCTATCCTATTTGATTGCAATAGAAGTCGGGGAAAGAACTATTCCTAGCGGATGCTCCGTCACGGTTCCCCTGCAAAGTCAAAATGCAAGTCGAAGCCGAACAGTTTTAAGTAAATGTGCTTGACTATGTTTCAGCTTCCCAGCGATGTTTGAGAGATCTGCTAGAAGCTACTAACCAAGATCCTGAGCTCGTCATGTTTTGTGACTTCGCTGAAACGACATGGCCAGACAACAAGCAAGCTATTCCAGAGGCGGTTCGACCATACTGGACATACCGAGAAGAGGTACACACGCAAGATGGTCTGATGTTTCGCAGCAACAAGGTAATCATACCTAGCTCCAAGAAAGTCGAAATCATGCGTCTTCTTTATGCGGCTCACGCGGGAGCGGAAAAGATGAAAGCCCGGGCTAGGACTGTAGTGTTTTGGCCAAACATATCTGCGGATATAGAGCAGTTTTGCATGGCATGCAAGGTTTGTCGGACTCATAAGCCACAGAACGCCAAAATGCCTCTTCTGAGCCATGATGTCCCTGCGCTGCCGTAGGAAGTCGTGGGGCTAGACTTCTTCTCCTATGGTGGCCGAGAGTTCGCCGTCATCGTGGACTTCTATTCTTTTTTCTTTTACATTCGAAAACTACAGCGCACCACCGCGAACTCGGTTAAGACGTGGTGCGCGGAGATCTTCTCTGTTCACGGACTACCTCTGAGGTTGGTCGCCGACAGCGGCCCACCATTCACCAGCAGAGAATTCTGTGATTTCCTAGAGGAGCTAGACATTACCCACGTCACCTCCAGTCCGTATCACCCACGCTCCAACGACATGACAAAAAGAGCTGTACAGAAAGCTAAGAAGCTGCGTAAGAAATGTTCCCTCAAAGTTGCCGACATTTATTTGGCTCTAATGGAGTAGCGGAACACCCCTCGGGATGACATTCTTAGATACTCTTGGCAGAGATCGATGGGGTGGCAGACACGAACCCTACTTTTCTTGCCCACAAGCCACCTGGAGCCAGAGACTGTGCCGACAAGGACGTCCAGAATCGACTACAAGAGATCCGCCCACGGCAAAGAAAGTACTACAACCGCGGCGCCAGGGACCTGCCGACGTTGTCAAGAGGACAACAGGTCACGCCCTACGAACAAGACAAACAAACATTGGCTTCTGCTACCGTCCTGAGCCAAGCTAACACGCCTCGCGAGATGATCCCGCAGACCGAAGACGGCCGCGAAGTCCGCCGCACCCGAGAGCACCTCCGGGAGGTAGCCGCCCCGCACGACGCGGAACCTCTGAAGCCTCTGGCCCCGCTCGACGTAGCCCCTGCCACAGCTGGGGCGCCTGGAGCATGGGAAGCCTCCCACGCTCAAGACGTCGAACACCCTCCAGAGCCTCAGAGAAGTTGAAGAGTACGTCAAGAGCCTCCTCGGTACCCTCTGCCCGAGAGGCATTCAAGTGGAGGGGAGGTGTAGCATGGCTCAAGTCTGAGTCATCGTGACGTCTCAAACCAAGCCGGTACACGTGACAAGACACGTCCCGCCTCGGCTATATAAGCCGCTGCCTTTCCTGAATAAACATCTTTCATCACCCGACGTCTGGCCCGCTTACAAATTCAACTAAAGTGCTTGGGAGAAGAGCGTGTTGGTTTAAGTCATGGATGAAGAAAGAATGAAACAATTAAAACAGGGACAACACAACCACATCTTTCAACTAGCAACAGACGAGTAAACTTTCAACAGTGAGCAGCCGACTATACCCAGTAGGAGTAGGGGAGAGAAGGGGGAGAAAAGGAAAGAAAGAAACGCGAAGTGCAAGTCAGGGTGGTAGGGTTATCTCGGATTTTAGAAATTCAACCTCAGTTTTCATCAGCAGGAGGGAAGGGTTTTACACGTTGTTTTTTGCTGTGGTCATGGCGAATGATTCTATGATTTCCCTGCCGAATCTGCTGGCATGCCCCCCCCCCCCCCCCCCCAGGATTTTTGTGTCATCAAAGAGGGGATGACAACGCAAACACGAACGGGCATGTATGACTATGGGAGGATAAGAATCTGGAGAGGCCTTAGAAACTTCGTTGTGATGTTCTCGGAGTCTGTGACTGGTGCATCTGCCGGTCTGTCCGATGTATTGATGGCCGCAGCTCAAGGGGATGGAGTAAATTTTCTTCTCTTTGCATGGAACGAATTTCTTTTCGTGTTTGACAGTGCAGCCAACCGGAATCCTGTTGTTGTTCACTTGTTGGCAGAGCTGAGGTTGAATTTTTAAAATCTGAGATAACCATACCACCCTGACTTGCACTTCGCATTTCTTTCTTTCCTTCTCTCCCTTCTCTCCCCTACTCCTTCTGGGTATAGCCGGCTGCTCGCTGTTGAAAGTTTACTCGTCTGTTGCTAGTTGAAAGATGTGGTTGTGTTGTCCCTCTTTTAATTGTTTTATTCTTTCTTCATCCATAACTAAAGTGCATCGCGCCACTAATATATTGAGGTTACAAAAGAGTAATTCACATGTCACTCGTGCGACTACAGTCCGTTGCAACTCAAGAAGGTAGGCCGAGGGAAAGGATTGCCAGGTAGAAGAAAGCATACGAATTGCTGGTAAAAAAGAGGAGGTTTCTCCCTTTCCTCTCCAGCGTTCTGTCTGCTCCCTTCCCAGCCTTCCTTTCCGTCGCCCGGCCTTCTTGAGCTGTATTTCCTATAACAACTCCAAATGATCGAAATAGTGACCAGTATATCAGTAGTCCCCAACAAAATCTAAATGTACAGTTACTCTAACTTATCAAAAGTGTAAGTGAAACACTACCACTGAAGACAAAAACGTGCATGTATACAGAATGATTTCTTCAAGCTTCACAGATTCGTTTAAAAAAAATGCGTGGAAGCCAGACTTGTGCGGTTTGTGTAGGTGAGTTATACGGCCAGCGGGACATAGTATTGGGGGCTAATTGTAACGATCGGTCTCCTAATTAAGCATACTTTGTTAATTTACTGTTTAATTCGTTAAAATAAACATATGATTCCAACCAGAAACCTGCTGAGCCTCATCGAAAACCTTTAAATCAACCCTTTTAAGAAAAATATATTGAAGAAGCAGCATCTTACGGCGTTCTGTAAAAACGCTTCATGTAGATGCGTTTCGAGGTTTCGGTTTCTTATCGGAGCGCATCGGAGCGCACGCGGTCCTGCTCCCTGGTGGTCGTGGCGCGAAGTAACCCCTTCGCCTCCCACGTAGGATAGAGTGAAGTAGGGCGCACGTGTGTTGCGCGTTTTAGCCACTGCAGGCACCAAGTTTCTAATTAGAACCATATGTCTGTTTTCACTAATCTAATTCAAAGATAATGAACAAATTTCCCTTAAATATCCGACTGATCGTTACTATTAGCCCCTTATATTCTGTACGCCTGGCCGTATAACTCACCTGTACAAACCGCATAAGTGTAACTTTCAGGGCTTTTTAAAAAAAATATCTGTAAAGCTTAAAAAAAAAAAAGTATATTGTGGATTAAACTGACTGACCCCGGAATTAAATCGGGTAGCGCCGAGATTAAATGGAATGGCGCTTGAAGTACATTGAGTGGCACTTTGATTAAATTGACCACCATTTGGATTAAAATGAACCAGGAAAGCCTGTAGTTTGAGAGAGATGCCTGGGGAGTGCAGATGACACGTAAACTCTGACCACTGGCTCTCGTGTTTTGACATCTCACTCGAACGAGCTCGTAGCGACCGGTCGCGAACCGGCGATCGGTGAAGTGATAGCAATTTAGAATGGTCAATCCTACTTTTAAGCCATACTCACCGAGAACGAGTGGGTTACTCAGAAAGAGAGGCACGCTTAGAATTCCGATGAGTCCAAAGCAAAGAGACAGCCTCGGCACCCCCAGATAGTCCGCTATGAGGACACCTTCGATGGTCACTGCGCTGCCGAAGAACGCTGCGAAAAGTACGCAGCTTGCTTGCACCCAGGCGAAAGCCGTGAATTGGGCAAGTAACAGCATGGATATTCCCATGAGAAAGAAGTTCCAGGTCATCAGAGTCGTACGACGAATGTATCCGTGATCAGCCAGAAGCGGGAGCGCCAGGCGTCCCACAATTTCTGACACAGCAAAATACGTCATTAGGGACGCGGCATCGGACTCGACGAACCCCTTGTCAACGGTGAAATCGACGATGGTAGAGAAGAAAATGTTTTGGGTGTAGAAGCCGGTGACGCCCGATGCCAGAATGACGTAGAACGAGGGCGTTCGGAAGATACTTGGCGCTGACTTTTGTTCTTCATGGCTGTCGAGATTCTTGGTTACTGGACGCTCTGTTTTTCCTTCCTCGACCTCAGAAGTACGGTCATCACTGTTATTGTCACATTTAAGTTCGACGGTTTGTGTTTGTGTCCAGGGTGGTGTTTTAAGTAAAATAACAAAAGCTCCGAGGTGCATAGAAAAGGCACCGTACAGAAATAGACTGTTCCGAAATCCATAGGCATCCTTCAGGAATAATAGCAGCTTTGGAAATACTGCTGAAGACGCTGTTCCTCCTAGATTTTTAATTCCGGTTACTATACCTCTGTAGCGTTTGAAGTACATCATCAGGATCATGGAGACTATAACGAAGAAGATTCCAGTCCCTAAACCTGAAAGTAATGAAAATCGAAAAATTTCAAGCAGGATCAAGTCAGCATTTAGCCTGTGATGCACAGGCTATCACTATTCAGCCCCAAAATATCTACGCTGAGAGTATCGACACTAGATATCCGAATTGCGTTGTGACTGCCCTCAATTTGGTACCTAGGTGCAGATTGCGCGCAGTTGGCGACAATCAAAATTCGAGCACTGCCAGCTTTAGATACAAAATTAGGAAGCTCAGGCGATGCGCCTTCGCTGTTTAGCGGACTTAGTTTTAGCATTTCTGAGGGCGGAAAAGCAATTTGCGTTATTTCCGATATAGGTTGACATAATTGACAACACTAATATAAGGCGACAAATGGCTGAAGTTCCGCTACACTGAATAATGCTGCCTAGAACGCGTCTCCGACTGGTGTGTTTACCGCGTCCAGAAAAGTGGTCCCCCGCTTTGCGCCCGATGAAGTGTGAGGCTGTCGGCGCCCGAAACCGTGGCTGCGTCGCAGCAGCTGCGGTGGTCGTTGCAGGTGCCTGTTCTGCTGCAGGTCTCTTAAGCTTGAAAGTCCACCGAAGCTTCGGCAGTCAGGAGTTGAAACGCCTTGAAGACAGCGACATTCTAGTTTCCTCGTACTCTTTGTTGGAACTTCTACTACAAACCACTAGGGCAGCGACGTTCTAAAGCATGACCCTTCAGCTTTTATGACGTCTTGTGTTGCCAGTTGGGGACCAATTTCTATGCATGGGCGGAGTAGGACGCTAAACACACCAGTCGGAGAAGCGTTTCGGGCCCCGTACTTAAAGCATAGCTTAATTTGTGGCCCTAACGCCACCGTCTGGTGACGGTTGGGCATTCAGAACACCTTACAGCTCACAAATACAAACCGCAGCATAACCGGAGCCTTCTGTTACCTAAATAACATGTGTTTCTTCATGAACTAATCGGCCACCATTCAATTTCAACATTCAGGGTAGAGGATGCCGGAAAAAGAAACCTCTTAGAAAACAAAAAAGTGGTTTTAAATGCTGCTCTTTGTTTCGTGAATCTTGTCCAGATGTTAAGATCGCTGTCACTTAGATTTTTTTTTTTTAATTCAGTTCCAACCAACGTTACTATATTACTCAGTTGGGAAACTGCCACAGAGACTGCTCTGAAAAATTGGCACAAACCCGTCCTCCAGAACCGAGCTAATTTCGATCACAACGCCGCCGTTTCTCCCGCAGTGGCCACTTGAGGAACTACGCGGGACTTCTATTTCGGCTTTAATCGGCCATTATCGCGCCGAAAAAGACAGTGGAAGGGATTACAGAGGCGCCACCCCCGTCTCCCCAGCGGACGCGCCGGGAGTTACTACCGAACGTAAGATGCACCTAGGTCGGGAGGTGCTACCTGAAATCACCGCTGAGGCATGGTTGTATAAAAAACAATATTAACTTAGCCGCAAAACCTTGCAGACTAAAGATTTTAGAAAACATCACGCGCCCTCAATTTGTACTAAACTCTAATAAAAGTTACTACAAAAATAGCTTTTTCCCGTTGGTTTTTACGCATAAAGATGCGTTTGAAAGTTCAAGGTGACCACAGTAAAAGCAAATTTTAAAGGGTGGCGCTGTTATCGTATTTAGCTCGGTCTCGGCGGACGCCAGCGGCCCATGTTTCAACGGTTTTCCCAACTGAGGGTTCTAGTAACGTTGGTTACACCACTGAGGTGTCTGAATAAAGTTCACCTTATCTCAGGCTAGTGAATAAATTATGAGAGCTTAGTAACCTCAGTAGGTTTTCAAGATAAATAATATGGGTTAAGAAAGTGACAATTCGCAAATACTCTGCCCAAACAGCGTGTTAAAACAAAAATACCGAAGAAAGCATATTTTAGTAAATTGACTAACCGTGTACGAAACCCATAGCAGCTGACATCCAAACAATATTTGTTCCAAAGCTTGCAGCAATTGGTCCGACGCACGTAAAGAGGCTACCAATGAGCGCAATCGCGGTAAGAGAGAGCCATCGATGAAGCAGCGACACAACCAGCCCTATAAACAATATAGATTTTGAACAGTTAGCACTTCACTCATTGGTCAGTCGAGGTAAACTGGGGGTTTAATTGCCAAACTTGCAAAAGGCATCTGGCACGCCAAGAAAAAATACTGAGTAAGACGTCAGACCGCCCGGGAACCTTCTGACGTGCTACTAATGTGTCGCTTACAGAGTGCCTCCTTCGCATTAAGCCTCCGTCAGATTAGCGCACCTCGACCAGGATTCATTCCCGCCAACGGGAGTCTGTAGGCCGATGTGTGGCCTCGAAGCTGTCAAAACGTATTGACCAGTGATTATAAAGGGAGCAGTAAAAGTTTGTACTTTTTCAAATTGGATATTGCAAGCTCATCTTGTTCAAAGTAAAAATAATGGTACGCGTCAGATAGGCACCCTCGCAGCTACCTGGCACATCTTGAAGCAAGTACTGCTTCATTTCACTGTATGAGATTTAGACGTTAATTAAATGAAAAGGCAAGTGTATCCTGCATAAAGCTGCCAAATATATGGAACCTTGTAAAATCCCTAATGTTCGCGAGCCCCTAATATTCACGATTTTAGCGACTTAGAAATTTCCTGAGCTTTAGATCGGCACAAATATTTTGTCTGGTCTGGAGAAGTGAATTCCAGCCTTTAGATTTGGTGAAACTTGAAGGTGCCCTGAAGAGGTATTTGAGATAGCCTAAATATAGTGATAACTCACACTGCGGGTTCTAAGCATCTTAGAAATTCATAAATTATAACGATGCAGGGCCAATTTCCCTATAAAAAGAAACAATCAAAGATCAAAATTATCTCCGGCACTGGGAGGTCCATTTTGTCGGCACGTGCGACGGCATGTGATGAATGAAAACGCGACATTCTGTTGAAGTTGCAAACGCTGTTATTAGAAAATGTGTAAGCTTTTGTAGATGATAGAAGTAGGTAAAGAGTACTCGACAAATGTAATTGTACGTGGAGAGAGAACATAATATTCTAATAATCGTCTCAGAAACAACAAACCACTTTCTTTTTTTCTTTCTCTTGTCCTTCGAGGGTGTGATGTGTTTGGTCGTCAGCTCTTGAGCGCTCGAACGCGCGACCGCTGGGTTGAATCGCAGTCCGGGCTGTGTGGAAAACGAGCCGCGCAATTTCGAGATATCACTCCGCGGTTCAAGCGGGCGGAGGCGAGGATCCTTCGCTTGCCATTGACTGACAATGGTTCTGGTTTCGCCGCATGCCCTCCCATCGCCGGAGATGAAATTGGTGTGTTGCGACCTTTGATTTATTTTTTTGATAAAAAATCTGCCGCTTATCGTCATGATATATAGATTTCTAGGATGTTTGGAGCCAGAAGAGTGAGTAATGGCCATATTTAGGCAATTTCAAAAACTTTTTGAGGCACCTTTAATTCTCGTGAGTAAGACCCAGCTGTCCCTTTCGCGAAACATCGGGGCCGCGAAAATAAGGGGTTCACAGTGGTTCTGTTAGATACGCCAATATATATTTTCCGACACAGCGGTACCAAAAGTGATTGCGGGGTGCTAGCTGCAGACATCATAATTTAGTAGTTAGAAATATTCAATGACAAAATCCGTCAGGCCCGTTACTTTTGAGTAGAGTGATCAGAAATAGTGGCCACTGCGGTTGCCGATTTCTACAGATGGTTTTATTGTGAGGGTTGCCATGTAAAAATATGAAGTAGTTGGGAAGGGCAAAAAACACAGTATACAGTTTATACATAACTAGAACAAAATGAATGGCCGGTTAAGATATAACTATTTTCACAACCTCCGAGAATCTAGCGCATTTAATCGGCATCAAAGTGATTAGCATCCTACTTCAAGCCAGCTTGTAAAAATTAAATAAAGCAGCCGTTGCGAAAAACAAAACAAAATAGCAAAACACTTTTTATGAAGATGCGGCACAAGCACAGACAAACTAAACTGTGGCACGAAAAAAAAAAAGCAGAAATCACAGCAAAATCAAAACACACAAATTTATGTTCGTTCAATTTTGATTTTTTACCGTAGTACTAGAGTCCCAACTCTACTTTTATTTGTGAAAGGTACATTTTAAACATTCCTGGTGAATACACAGCCAATCTTAGCACAAAAGCGGAAAATCACATTGGGACCGCAATGTTCTACTCCGGCGCTACGCTTGGTGAATGATTTGTTTAAGCACGTGTTCATATATTAAGGCGTTTTGCTTATTTTAGTTCAAGAACGTTGAACTGTAGTGCTTCAAACAATGCATAGTTAACATTCCGCCCTACACGAACAAAGTATTTCTCCCACGTTTAGAGCATTTTGCGTTAATACATTTCTTCCCTATGCTTGTCATCAAAACACGCACGCAGCATACACTTCTCAAATACGCGAGCTCGATAATGGGTGCACACTCACGCGGTGCAGTGTCGGCGTGAATAAAGTTTGGACTCATCACTACCGCAAAGTTTGTCTATTTCTTAAGGCAAAACGTTACGCGTTTGTTGATAGTTTCGAATGACATGAACCGTCTTAAATTTATGTCATGAGTGCCAAGATTATATTTCAAGGCGGTGCGTTTTTCGTTCATAAAACTTTCCTCGCTGCATTGACTAAATAGGGCTGAACCTAGAGTCCTCTTTAGTCTGTTCTATAGAGTACTATGGTTCCTCTTTAGCCTTGAAAAGTCGCACACTGTTTTGTATCAATCAGTTATTTCTAAGTACGTATTACGTGCTGGGGACGGGCTTGGGTAACATTAATTAATATTCATACCACCTGAGCTTTTGTGGCTTGGAATGAAAGAAAATATACGTAAGAGTAGTCGAAAAATGTAATTCTACGTGGATAGAGAGCATAATATTGAAATAATTGTCTGAGAAGCAGCAAGGCCACAACTCTGTTCGCAATAATCTGACTTTAAGTAATGCCCATTAGTTAAGCCGTTTAATGTTAATTTCACTCCGAAACCCTGCGCTTAAAGATCTAAGCTGAATGAATTTTTTTTTTCGGGCTATTATTATCATTCAGGGCTGGCAAAACCGTGGCCAGCGGGACTCATGCGACTTTTCAGGGGCCCAAGTGAGAATCGCGGCCCCCTGGTAAACAAAACACCCCTAGCGCAAGATAAAAAATGAAAAACATAGAAATGAGGCAGCTTTTGAACCATCATAAGTACATTGGAAATGGCCCGTGTTTTACGAATGGAAAAACTCGACCGAGGGACATCATGAGGAATTGCTTTATGCGTAAAATTGGCCGCGGTCAGTAACTGAGAAAAGGGAAATACAAAAAAAAAATAATAAAGAAGCGCCGCACCGCTTTTTTGTTGTTGCTCTTTAATTAAAATATTTACTTTCTATGACTCTTTAGATTTGTCTCCTGCCATAATTATAACTTCTCCATATTTGGTTGTATAAACTTAATTTCAGACGGTACAAAGCATAAACGATGTATTCGGATATGGTTAAAATAGTATTGCGTGTTTTGTGCCCGATCGGCGGCGATGCGTCACTGTACAAAATCTCAAAACTAAATCTTTGGATTGAAGCAGCTTTTAAGGAGACAGGAAAAGCCATTATTGGTGAAAGGGGGCACCCGTCTTGATACTAAAAATCACATCCATCTTTTATGTTTTCTAACAATTATGTTTTCCTAATATATTTTAAACTTTTTGGTAGATATAAAGGCATAAAGCCCAGCATAATAGAGGGGTGCCTAGATTTCAATAAGGCGGAAAGTACATTTGATATAAAATACGTGACACTCTAAAACCAAATCAGAGCAAATACATCAAACAAGTTAAATGAACGATAGCAATAGATTTATATAAATTGGCATTCTTAAGAAATAACACGGAACACCACAAATTAGAACACAAAACATCAGCTGATACTTTCATGATTAAAAAAATACCGACCGCAACATCGAAATTTAAACTAAGGTGTGCATAATCCAAACTTTTCCACAAGTTAACGTCTGAAACTTGAATAAAAACAAGAAGTAAAAGACAAAACTGGACAGGACACTGCGTACGCCGTGCCGTGTCTTGCTCATTTCTGTCTTTTTCTTGTCCATCTTTCTCGGCGAGGATTAAAACACACGTTCATGCAGGTCATGCGCAGCTTCTTTACTGTTTTTTTTTAAATACTCTTATATGCTGGAATAAAATTCATGTAAAATAACATCGCAGGCTAGAATGTCCAGTCGGTCGAGCACTTGCCTGCTGGGTATCCGACAATGAAAGCTACGGTCTGGGGCCAGATTGCCTGCTGTCTGTCGATGAGGAATAGCTCCATGTAGCCGACGTAAAGAAAACCCGCGTTCCGTTCGCCGAACGACAGGACGACTTGAGAAAGGAAGGCCACGGCAGCCACGCCCCAGCACGTGTCCACACCCCTGGTCCGCCGGTTGTACCATTTACGACAGAAAGATCTTTCGTGCCTTCCGTTCATTTTGACCAGGTGGAGATAGATCATCGACGATTCTTAGCGTCTCACCAAAGTAAATACCTAAAGAAAGAAAAAAATTAGCAAGTAAAAATTGAGCTTCCACAACGTCTCAAATAGCTACACTATACCGTGGCATTGCACAAAGCAAGTCATATATTTTACTGAATTAATTGTGAGGCTCAGTATGTAGGAATGTAAGTAATTGCGTTGTTAAGGGTCAAGCACTGACTTCCTCTAGTTTCCTCCGTGTTTAAGTCTACCAGAGGTCGAACATTACGCTCTTGGCATAAGAAAAACAGAAGAATCCCCCAGTGTTTTTTTGTTGCTTTTTCTGTATTTTTAGCACTGTCCAACCGGTTATTTTATTATAAACTCCACGCACGTAATGCCGGAAGAGCTACTTAGGGGAAATATAAAATAACAATATTAAATTTGCTCAACTTTTGTGTTTGAACTCATTGTGTGACATCCGAACGTTTTTCGTGAGAGCCATTGATCACAAATTATATGCAGCGCTACCGAACTCAGAGGTGAGAGAGCGTAGTATGAACTGTGCAATGTGTGTCGGAGTGCGCGCGCCAAAAATATGTTTTTCTAAAGCATTCGGGCTTTCTGAAGTACTGTACATGTATTTTGATGTGGAGCATACAGTAAACCATTTTTTTAAAACATAGTTCTTCTCTTCAAGGTTCCTAGCGCACTTCTACACAAGGGAAAAGCTAAGACAGCGAAACAGGCACTTTCACAACCAGACGACTTGGTATTTAACTAAGTTGCCACCGAGCAATGATTTTAAAACACTGTACACTAGTTTGCGGTTCTTCGGATAAACCAGAAAGAGTAATTCTGACAGGAGCATTTATGTACTGTTACTATGGGAACTCCATCTTGTCAAACAGTAAAACCTCGAAGAGAACGCAAGCCGAAAACTCGACCTGTTATAGTATTGCGTCGTCAAATCGCTTTTCATTCACGTGTAAACAAAGTGATTCGGTCGAAGTAAATGGCACTATAACAAATAGTGGGAGGGTATGTATGCCATTTACGCTTTATCCTTTACTATGACAGATTATTTAGTGCATATCATCTTCGTATTTATCCGTTGCCTACGTGGATTTACTTGGTATCCTGAATGAAAAGCGTGCGAAATAGGACGATGATTGTTGCACGCCAAGCCGATACGTTTTCCTACAAACCATGAAATTTCATAGAACCACACGTGGGTACACGCTAAATGTAATTAAAGGGCTACATTTATTTCTCGACGATATTATATTAGGATTATAGGAAGTTAGGATTATAGGAAGTCGCGTTCCTCGTTTTGTAGTGCCAGTTTGTTCGACCTGGTACGGTAAATGCACTCGGGATTACTACGTTCCGTGTTTGTTCAACGCCCTCCCTGACATTTTCATTGACATTACATCACTGAAACAACTGAAGAAAAACATCTAGCATCTCTTTGCCGTGTCTGCATGCTTCGAGCTTGAACTGTAATTAGCTAAGTTAATTTTAACTTAGTTTAGCCTTTTGTTTATTTTTTCTCCCCTTTTACTTCGTTTTCGCTTAACGCTTTTCGTGTTTTTTTTTCTAAGTGCTTTTTTCTTCTTCTTCCGTGCTTTCTTTTTTTTTTCTTTTAACGCTTTTCGCTTTTTTTTTCTTGATGCTTTTTTCTTCTTCAAGCTTTTTTTGTGTTTTAAATTCGACTTTCAGTCTTACATTGTGGAATCATGATAATTATATTTTGAATTTTTTTTTATGGGCGTCATCATACAAGCCCTCTGCAGGCTTTGATATGCCCGTATCTAGTACTTAAATTCCCATTTGTGTGAAATAAATATATTATTATTATTATTATTATTATGCGTAGTAATCACAAAAGAAATAGAAAAGTTTTGTCGGTGATTAATACTCATCTCTTAATTTTTTATCAGCACATCAACAATTTATCTCATATTTGTTTCGTTATAATTAAAAGTTTGATATATGCATTTGTTCAGATATTTGATGATTTTAATGGATGTCTAGCATTATGAATAATAAATTGAGGATCGGAAGTTTGTACCTGCACGTGCTGAATTTTAACCCGCGTAAATAGAAGTGAGGTCAGAATTTTCGCCATTCCAGTGCACAGAAAAAACTGAACCAGAATATTTACTTTTTAAGATCAATTTGTTGCAACTGGCGTTCTGATGAGAAATGGTTTCTGATGCCATACACTTGAGAGCGAGTCACTTGTTTACTTACTTTATTTTGAAGACTTATACAACACAGTACACCATCCGTCTTAAAACTTCTCATATTCGTGCATTGGTTGAAGAAAAAAATGTGTCCACGCTAGGCGATTGCAAGTCAATATTTGAGGCTAATTACCTCTAAAACATCACCAATGGGCGGGTAAACACACCTCCTGACTAAGAAAAAGAAAGCAAACAGGAGTATGTCATGACCTATTTTTGTGTTCGCTTTATTTTTTGGTGTTTCTGAGCTCCTAATTATGAAAGATAATGAATTCTGCCGCTTCCACGACAAACTAAGCGTTTGTGTAGGCCCCCGAGCGTATATCGGAACAGCCCCACAATTCCCCTCGCCGCGGGGTCGCCTGGGATTTTCCGGAAGGGTTTATTTCTCTTCACAAGAGAGATGCAAGAATTGAAGAGACACACTTACCGAGAGGCACGCGCTTGTTCCCTAAACTGCCGAGGCAAGAAAGCATAAATATAACAGGTTCTTTGAGAAAAGCCAACGCTAGGCACTTTCTTGCATCCAGTTCCAAAGCCGCTGTTGCTGCCGGATTGTTATCGCACGCGATAATGAGGATGCGCACTTTTCTCGAGAACAAGGCAAAACGGACGCTCTCTTTGGACACCGGAAGAGTTGGCTTATCTCTGCGGTTTAGCCGCAGGAAGTGGATTACAATATGCGGGAGAAGCGCAGAGGCGCGTGGTATCGACTGCGACCAAGGATCAGTCGGCGTTTTCATATGCATTTTGTGGAGAGATAGAGGGCGTGAAACCGAGAGAGAAACCAAGCGACACAACACAGACATGACGGAAAGAAGAGGGTAAAAAAATATACAAATAAAATTAAAATATATATATATATTGCGAACGTTTTCTATGTTGATATTCCGAAAAAGGTCATTCCCGGCTGGCTTCATATTTCCCACTATCTCTCCGATAGGGTGCCCGTGAAATTTGAGAATTCTCTCCCGCATAAGTGAAGCGCGTGTTTTTATATTTTTTTTTCCGGCTAGCTTTTTCAGTTTAGTATTTTAGTTACCGGATCCTGAGAATGTTTTATATAATAGCGAATTCAGAGTATTTCACGGGAGTTTAAGACGGAAATCATAGATTGTCAGACATGTACAAGTTACTCAAAACATGTAATTAATTTAAGTTACTGATTATTGGCCTCAAAAGGAATTTGAGTGGAGTACAAATTACTCAAATGGAAAGTAATTAAGTAAATTACTACCGTAACAGAGTAGCAAATTACTTTTGAAGTTACTTTTATATTTTTATAGTAACAAGAAAGTACATAAATGTACAGTACGTAATATTGTTTTTGATTCGTTAGCAAAATTTTGCTAGCCGAATATAGAGCGGCTTGTGTATTCACATAAATGCTTTAACAGCGGGCTCCGCTTGTGTGTGATTACTGGTTTTGTACTTTTTGTTTTCTGGTCAATGATGTACTGGGAGTGTAACATTTCTACTTCGAGGTTTAGCACTGCCTGAGCTTGATTTTGCAGACAGTGTTTGCTTGTTAAGAGTGTTGCGTAACGTACATCTAAAAAGTACTTGAAGTAAAGTACAAAGTCAATTAGAGGTTATGTACTTCAAGTATCGTAAGTACACCGAGCGCAATGTACTTGAAGTACTATAAATACAACATACTTTTAAAGTAAAGTACAAATACTTTTTAACACAACCTTTCATGCTGTCCTTTCTTACCCTTTCTGTTTACATTCTTTTATCTGGTATGCATTGCTCCAGGGGTAATTGGATGAGCATCCGTTTTTGTTTTTTTCGGAAATGGCAACAAATATCGGATAAAGTCAAGTCGCCATGGAGTAGTTGCTTTACTCTCGCTGACGAACTATTTAACACTTATAAGACGCTCATTTTTATCGGTCTTATAACTGCCATTAATTCACTCAGAGAAATGACCAGATCATCCTCTCGAAAAACGACAGCGCGTTTTCACATCAAGATACGCCAGAAAAAAGATGTTAGTAAAGCACAAGTACATGCTCAGAGAATGTACTTCAAGTAAAGTACAAGTTTTTTAATCCTACTTGAAATAGTACTTTAAGTACCATGTTCTTAAAGGGGCGGTGCAACGATTTTATGATTAAAACAATTTGAATCTCGTCACTTTTACGTTGTTTATCGTATCCCAGAGGATAGAGAAAACACTTCCTTCATTAAAAATGTCGCGATTTCGCTGCATAATCGCAACGCAAAAGTCGAGCTTTTTCCCCCACCTGCAGCCCCAAGTGGCAGCCGAAGGAACTACGGCGGAAAGATTACGAGACCTTGCTCGGCTCTAAGCTGCAGCATAGCGCCCGCTAATGTACGCAGAGAGAGGGAGGGGAAGCGTCCTCCGAGATAGCACACGGGAAGCTACACGGCGCTCCGAATGACGTCACTGGGAGTGCGACCAGGTGTGACCCTGAAGACTGGGAGTGAGTTGAGGGGTGCCCGAAATGTCAATCTTTATCTTTTTTTTACGCAACAACTAGGACACGCAGGCGAAATCGGTTTTCTGTTCTTTACTTCAGAAGTGTCAGGGGGCAACTTCCAGAAATCTTTGACCGAAGTCTGAAAATCGTTGCACCGCCCCTTTAAAGTACTTCCTACTCCAGCTTGTTTTCCTTTTCTTTTCTTTTTTTGGTAAAAATGTTGGGGGAATTATTAAGTCTCCCAAACGATCTTCCAATCTCGGAAGACCTGCATATGCTAAGTTTTAGGTGGAAAGGTAAAGCCAAGAGGTCACCTATGCGTTCCCCCTTAGCACGCGATTTAAGTACAGCACAAACTACGAGAGCACCAGATGGGCTTCAGGGCGGGTGCTGCATTTTGTTGCCTCCTTTGAGTGAGGCTGCTGTGTAGACACCTCCTGTGTCTGGTGAGAGTTCCTACGTTGGGGAGAAGCGGGAACAAACCCTTTCTCTAAATGCGTCAAGTCTCCCTGAGCTTCGGGACACAAAAAAAATGCCAGATTTCGGCACTAGCCCCGCATTTACTGAGCCTCACTTGCGACATATTGGTTCGCTCATTTTTGCGCAGAAATGTTTGACGACCAGCGAACCTACCACTAAAATTCAAAAATAATTTGTAATTTGAGTAGATGTTTCTCAAAAAAAGTAATTGATGTACTCTACTAATTACCCCCGAAAACGGCAATTGAAATTTACTAAACTACATAGAAAAGTGGTTAAACTACAGTAACTTGAGTAGAGTAGTTGAACTAAGCATACAAGTCTGTAAATTCTGCTGCATAAACTATATATAGAAAGTTCGTTCATTGAAAATACTAGGAAGGTTGCTAAAGTTTGCAAGTGTGAGGTTAGGGTGGTTCTGCGAACATTAAAACTTTTGAAAAAAAATGCAAGGACGTTCGTTGTTAAAAAAAAATGTTGCCCGAATGCAGCACAAAAAAGTAAAATTTTTGCGAAAAAATATATATGCAGTATGTTGCTCTACATTTTACACATTATAGAATGACTCGTTTAATCTTGTAATGACATCGTTAGCTTGTTAATGCGAAGTAAGGCACCCGCTAAATATTACATTCAAGCTACATTAGACGCATCAGCTGGCTTTCAATTTCCACGTGTGAGGATAACGGTCAAAATTCAGTCTAATGTTTGTTAAACATAACGTTAAAAAAAAGTAATTCAAACATGTTAGGCTAGCGACATCCACAAAAGTAAAGGCCAGAATAAGAGGTTTAGATTATATTAACTGCATATTGCGCTCTTGTTCCTTCTCAGCGCAAAAACTTGATGGCTTTCTATGACCGACTGCGTATCGCGGATTATACACGAGCTCGGTACCTGAGAGGGCACCGGTCTCCCTGCGCTTAGCAACCACCAACACATCGGCGCTCAAAAAATAGGAATTTCAGAATAGGGGGCCCCAACACTTGAGGGCCGCCAAACAACTTGGGGCATCCAAAGCATCAGGACCCCCAATTCTAAATATCTCTACTATCCGAAGCATGGCATGTGCTCCAAGCATTTGCCAACAGTAGTCGTTTTCACCTTAAGAACCGCAGTGAAAAAAGTCCGGCTTTTCGCGGAGCATCATTTTGTTTACTCTTTTACGTGTTGATTTAGGATGTACATCGGTGAATTTAATATCAGCTTGCCGTTATTTCGTAAAGATATGCACGTTTAAAACGTATAAAGTGTATAGCCCCTTTCTCCGACAACCATATCTTCTAAGAACTACTTTGTGCAGCGCAAGTATAATGTGCAACATTTCTTTTTAACATACAATGTGTTTATGGGCTGCATATTCTGGAAACGTGTAACGCTATAGTGCAACGCAAAAGCGTTACATGCAAGCCAGGGCAACAGGCAGGTTTAGACTAGGATGCCTCGAATGGTTGCGTAGTGAGGAAATATGTAGATGGCACTGTTATTTGCTCGGCTCATGGGAATCAATCACGGCATTTGTGAATATTTTCGAAATCAGCAGCTCCGGAGCTTAGGCTTACGGCAGCCGGAGGATGGATGGAGGGTTGTTGCAATTTCTGGATTTACGCGTGCATGTTTTGGACGCTCGGCCGGACGCTAGGCAGCCGCGCGCGGCAGCTCGCTCCTTGCGCCCACTGCGCGGTCCGCGCACCCTATGAATGGAGGACCCATAGAGTAATATACACAAGGGAAAGAGGGGGCACTACCTTAACCCCCAGCTGCCCAGATAGACCAGTGACAGCTAGCGCTCCTTGCAGGCGACATGAAACATAATTTGGTTCTTGTTCGGGTCAGGGTAGCTTCGGTTTTAAGTTAGAGCGTTTCCGTTCCGGTACCCTTCTCCTTCTCTTTTCCTCCTCGCCTTGCTAGGCTCTCGGGGCTCTTCCGGTCCCACTAGTTCTTTTTTTTTTGTTCTTTAATATAGTCGCGTTTTTTTTCTCATAAAAGCAGCGCAAAATGTGTGAAACCAAATTTCCACTTACGTCACAAAAAAAAAAGCAAAAAAAGTGAATATCTTGTTTTTCTATTGTAAAACATATAAGTTACACAATAGCGGCATTGAGTCCTAGCTCGTGAAGTATTGCGAGTTAAGCAACAGTAAGTGTTTCAAGAACATTTTATTGAACCACACACATATATACATAATTTTCTTCATAAGCTCCGTATGTTTTATAAGAAACAGATAGTGACAAAAATAAATGAATACAAAGAAGTTCGGCATATCGGACATTTCGAAATAGATTTTTAGCGGGACCGAGTTAAAAAAACTTTTTACAGGGAACATGCTGAATGATCCATTCGCTTTCGAGCCGACTAGGGCACGGAAAGTAAGTGCATAAATAAACAAGTCATCCCTTTGATTACCAGCCACAAGAGCATAATAAAAGTGCGAAGCACTCACCGGATAAATCAAAGTTTTAATTTCCGGCTAATACAAAAGAAACGAATTGGCATAGCCTGAAACTCATTGCAGGCGAGCCATTACCAAACAATAAAAAATCATGCAGCATCCATCATGGTCAGACACAACAGAAGCAGATG